CTTGCTGTAACTCTGGACGAGATAACTTTTGCTTCGGCGATAAAATAGACTTCTGTGTTATTTGCGAGGATGTCGCGTTAGATGAAGTTAATGAAGACTACGAAATCTGCTTTAAAAATCTTGCCCTTGTGTCGTGACTAATGATCTGTATCTTCGAAATTAGCAGCAGGATCGGATCGATGACAGAAAAAGCAAAGTCAGAGAACGAGATCGATTCAACGTCGAGACTAAGGCGATCTACGCTGAATCAAACATCATCTTCGACATTTTCGTTTGTATCAAATTGACTGACGCTAGCTTGTGATGCAATTACAGTGTGATCCAGTGTGTATGTATATCTGCCCATAAGATAGTATTTTTATTGCAATACGCGCTTGAAGATATCGTTACACTTATGACTCAGCATATTTTGCCTCAGTTGTGTTTAGAACTTCGCGATGTTTTGCTTATTCTTCGGCTCTTAACCCTGAATGTCTTGTATGATTCCCATCATTCCCTTCAGTCTCGAAAAATAATTTGTAACCTAGAGGGAATTTTCACACCCCAAAACTGACAGCATGGGTCATTGTGTGCCATACTCTTTTGGGTATTGATGCAATCATATATTAGTTACGAGACTTCCATAGAAAAAATGGTCTGTTCGAGTGGCAGACAGATACGAACCGACTGGTCAAGCAAAGCATTTTTTGAGCTGGAAATTCAGTAGAAGAGAATTCAATGCGTGGAATCCATCCTTATTCATGATTTACACGACAACCTAGTCCAAAGACATTTTCAAGAGTCTCACGACGATACTCCGCGGGTGCGTATTCTAGAACATCTGTGACATCTTTCTATTCATAATACTTTTTAACACGACGAAATTGTAGTTCAAATAGCAATACACCCATATTACCATCTCTAGCCGCAAGATTAGTCACATCATTACCATCATGTCTCACATACATAGAGTAGTCACTGAAAAATAAAGTGTAAAGATCTTACGTTAGAACCCAAAAGAAGATGTTACAGCCCGCACTGACATGGAGGAAAGACGCGTCTTTTACTTTCGATTACTCACTCGACGTACCCAAGCAATTAGAACAACTTCATCACTGGCGATTCTCAACCATCACCTTTGATAAGTTCCATCGGGTACGAAAAGTTTATGCTGTCACTTTTTTGCGGTTTTTGCTTAGACGAATAGATATTTCCTATAAATGTTTTATCAAATTGTCAGACCACTATAATCTTATAATTGTTTAGCTGAATTTTGCACCAGGGTGTTGCACTCGTGATTACTTTTTCTTGGTATTTCATGTCGCTTCGCATAATTTGGCTTCAACCATAGCGCCGTACACTCGGCGCATCACACATTATTCTTTGAGATAAAATCATTTCTACGTAGCGGGCATGAGCAGACCCATCATTATCGACAATAGTACACCACCAAGACTACAAGCGCGTCAGGGGTTAGGCAAGGGCATATTCAACCATCTGAACTATCTGTCAAATTGGTTTGAAACTTGTACAAGAATAAATCGCATTACCGACGCAAACGCACTGAATGGGAGAACGATACTCCGGCAACATATTTGCTACGCACATTAACTTCGGATGTTATACTTCACAACGCGAAAAGTTGAACTTTTGCTAGTAAATGGAACGATGTAGAGATATCTCAGATTTTTCTTTGAACTTTGCCGACATTCGGTTGGAAAACGCGCAAAACAATTGCTCTTGCTTAATGCAAGCCACGTTGCAGCTGATATAATTGCGCTGTCTCGTTTGAAGCGTGGCATGCCTGTAGCAGGTAGTTGCGATGCTTTACCATCCACGCCAACCGCATGAAAATTAGACTGTAGATTGACAGTGCTATAATTGAAATATCAGATCTACGAGATTGTAAGTAGTGACATATCAAAATTACCTGACGTCATGTTGATGGAGATGACATCAGCAGGTGTCGAGTAGTGGAAGGCAAATGCCAAAGTGAATTAGTTAGCAGCTACATAATATCTACCCTTCCT